CTTAAACCTGTTTAAAGCAACGTGTAACAGTACCTCGGTGTCCCACAGTGACTGACGTTGCGTTGCATGATTGGATTGCCAAATAAGTGGTTTCTAACCTGTACGACTGAATACATAAGGTACGACAAACAGAAGACGGGAGGCCTGGCCTAGCCACTGCAAGATGTCAGGATGCTGGATGCGGTGGCTCTCAGTTCGTTGTCTTGTCCGGTCAGGTCAAGTGCAAAGATGGTTCCCGCCCTTATCCTTAGGCATTTTTCATTATGCTTCCTGGCTGAACACTTTCTACCTTTTATTTCATGTAACAGCGACAGAGAATAAATGCTGCAGATCGACAATCAAGAGGCTATTACTGTTTTCAGCCCCTCCACAACTGACAATACATATCAACGTTCCACTTAAAAGGGAAATCCATATTTGAAGAGTTTTATCTTCTGGGATATAACGGAATGTTGAAATTCAGCTGAAGGTTCGAAGGAATATATCGCCTACATCTGCTTTCTAGGTACTTCACGCTGGTTTATTGTATGGCGCATTTTTGGACCTGAAGATGGTGGCGACATATTCCTCCGAAACGTCGATGGCCTTTCAACGAACTACAGAGCGTTATATCCCAGAGACAGAACTCTTCGTAACCACCACTGAAGAACCTCAAATCTATTAACGTATTCTGTACCGACATTCCTTTATGCAGAAAATAGTAATTTATCATATAATGCTTCTGATTAATAATTAGATTACTTAACGATGCTGTTTCAGCCGCAGGAGTTCTAGGCTCTTAGCGTCCGATAAACTGGGGAGGTTCTGAATAGTAAGCAGATAATCACTTGTAAGGTGGTGATAGTGGCCCATTTAAAATTGCCAGGCCAGTATTTACGAGTATTCAGACAGGCTCTTTACTTTCATATCATTCAGATATGTTGCATGTCAGGTCCTCGTAACGGCGACTGTCAAGAGTACTGTCTTCTGGGTGATAACGCCGTGTAGTTTGGCTCTCCTTACCTAGCTTTCTTTTCGGCTATGAAGATTAAGGCAATACGTTCCCCCGAAACGTCGATGAACGTTTACCGGCATACACAGCTCTGTATCCCACAAGATGATACTGTTCAGTGAGGGTGTGTTTAACTGTGTCCGAGTTGGATGTCTGTTGTCTCTATGGGACTTTGCTTCACATCCAGTTCTAAGAGCGCCCATGATTGGATTTTAATAAACGGGAGCTGTTATTCAGGATTCCAACTGATTGATTTTTCAAGGAGCTATTTCAAATTTGCGCCGATCACAATGGTCGCCCTGTCTAAAGCGTGAACTGTCTTCGCTCGCTCAAACCCTGAGATCGTAGGTTCGAATCCCACTTAAGTCATGGATGTCTGTGTACGTTTATTCTGTGTTTGTGTTATTCTATGGGCAGCTAGTGTCCTTGCGACGGGCTGATCCCCCGTCCAAGTAATCCTAAGTGATGTGAATAGGATTAAGAAATTGAAAAGGCGGCCGAGGTCCAACAAAGGAGCTATAGAACCACAGTAGATCGATTTCAAATGTGTGGAGATTGTAGTGAGTGGGTTACATTTGCAAAAAGGGTAGTCATGAGAAGCTTCAAGGTACTGCCTCGACATTCCCTGGACGTTCTAGGGATATCAGGATACTTTAGAAGTTCCAGAAACTCATTATTACTCGCCCTTTGTAGGAAAGGCCATAGATAGATCACTTCGTGACCACGTTCTCTTGTCTACTTCAGCTGTGACCTTAACATGACGCCATCTACACCAGGTAGATGAACCTGATGAAAAGAGTGCAACTGAATGAGATGTATACCGTTACCCCCCCCCCCCAACAGGCATGTTATTTGCATTCTGTGTTCCCTTTTCGAGCTGTGTTTTTCCTCTCCATACTGTAATTTATAGACTGGTTTGGTACACTTTCTTTCTCTTTTGTCTGATACGTATTCATTTATTTTTATTTACAATTACATGAATGTTGATTTGTTAAGGACAGTCAGAATCCTATTAAAATAGCCCTTATAGTATTCGCATGTCGGAAAAACCTCGTTGATTTTAGGCTTTCACGTTGGTTCACTGTTAGCATTGACCCTACTCTGTAGTATTTCGGCCTTGTAGATGTAGGCAGTTTTCCCCACATACACATCGGTGCAAATATTGTCTGGATCTACATTCTGTAAATTAGGAACATTCATATTGTACGGAAGAGTTAATTAACTCATATCATACTCCTTCCGCGTCACGCGATAGCGTAGTTTGTTGAGGCACTATGCTACAAGCCTTAAGGTCTCGGGTTCGATTCCCGATAAGGTCATTTGATTTTTCAATTGACCTAATCCTTCCAACCCCACTCTGGCCCTGGTGTCGACTCAGCCTCTAACAGAAATGAGTACCAGGAATCCTCCTGAACATAAAGGGAAGCCATCTGTGAACCTATTGTCTAGAAAATATGCGAGCCTCGACGTCTCACAGCCCTATGAGCCTCCACGGCCTGTAAGAAGGATAACTTTACCTTTTTTTTACTATATTCCTTCCAAGATTTGGCCGCTTAGAATTGTTATACCATTTCCGATTGCTGTATGTAATAAGTACTGTACCATCAAATTGGAACGTACAACGTACAGAGTAGCCTTATCCAAAATAATGAAAAAAAAAAGTTACCATTAGGACTGTAGCACAAATACTCCATATTTCAAAACCGCTTTATCATATTTCGTCCTTCCAAGTTTTTAATTAGACCTCTGAATCAAAATATGAAGTTGTAAATATATTAAGACTTGAAATGGCCTGTCTTTCAAGTGATTATAACATTGTAAGTTATGATTACTGTATATAGTGTGTGTATGGGTTGTCCTTCGTCCTAGTTACATACACACACACCCACCCACGATTCATTACTCCGTCTTACATTTCGTAATATATTGGGAGAGAATACGACTGACCGTATTATCATAGCTTGTGTAGCTGTGTAATATATTTAGACAAGATCTCTAGTCACGAAGGCTGTCTGCATTTTAATTATACTTGTCAACATGGCTATGGCAAAAATATATCTACTGTAAACCCCAGTACGTCATATCTTGCATAAGCAGCCTTACGGAAGAAAAGTCCTGTATAAGTACGTTTGAATTTGCCACCAGTGTGTGAATGCCAGAAGTGCTGGAAGTAAAATCTAACAACTTTCTAATGTTGGCGTAACGGTCTACGTCATTAACTTAAGATGACGCATCCGCGCCCCCATAGGAGACAAAACATAGTATAAAACAAATATATATATTTTTCAATTAATTGTGATATGCTGATTTCAGATCTAGACGCATACGTTCTGCACCACGTCACAGTTCTGTATATTGAAATTTGAGTCAAAACAGCACCCGGCTTTTTTTCTTTTGCAATTTATTATATTTTTTATTGCTGGCCCCATGTCTTCAGGGCACTGTGCTTAATTAAATAAGCACACGGACAGCTTCAGCTTTTTGCTGTCTTAAATGTTGTCAATCGTAATGGGAGAATATTATGTTCTGTTTGTAAACGTATTTATTCACGATTAAATTTCACCATTATTTCAAATTGCTTAAGAAGTGGTAAATTAGCAGGTATTCTTTTCTTACGCAGAATATGTCTCTATTTGTTACAAATTTCAACTGGCGCTCTGTCACTGTCTTTTCCTTACCGCGAATTACGTCGCATTTAAATCTAATAGTCTAAACCGGTACTTTATTTTGTAACTAACTAGTCCCAAAAAGCAAAAACACTTGTTCAGAAGGCAATATTCACTCAGCTACTCAAGAGATTACCCGCCTCATGAAAACCTAGCATTTATCACAGCGTTCACAAGAGCCCCTCATACTTTGATTTATACTCATAATAACAATAACGACATTCTTGTACATAATTTGACCCACAGAGTGTAACTCCTTTTAGAATTTATTATGTCGTATAGGAGCAAGTCAGCTTGTTGGCTTCATAATCCGTAAGCAAAATATATGTGCAGCAATAACGGAGTATCGTTAGTAAGTCATGATCTCCGGCAGCAAGAGAGGCTGAATTTCTGACGTTCTATTCTCAAAATGGCAGGAAGTTCTCATCGCCATCGCGTTAGAACCGGATATAAGGTTTAACCAGCGTCCCTTCCAAGTGGTGCCGTAGGATAAATTTATCACAGGGACAGGAACCGTTAACTTCTACTTAGTGATGAGATACAAAAGGCGTGGAGATTTATCTTCACACCTCAATACAGTCCTTCATGATGTGTAGCACATGCTTTATTACTAAATAAGAAATAATGACAATTGTAAATTGAGTACTGTATTAGTCCGAGTACAGGGCGAGTTCTCTGTTCACCAAATACTTCTTCTTAGAAAAGATAAGTGACCTTAATTTCAGGCGCATAAAAACAAATATGGAGATGATTATGAGGAGTCATATTTGTTAATTCTAACGACACTTGTGATAATATCTAAAATTATATTTAAAGAATTGAATGATTTGGAATATTGGTAGGAAAGCCAGAAGGAAAGAGGCCACTGAAAACACCAGAACGTAGGTGGGTGAACAATATTAAAATGGATCTTAGAGAGATAGGATTGGATAGTATGGATTGGATTGATATGACTCAGGATAGGGATCAGTGGAGGGCTCTTGGGAACACGATAATGAACCTTCGGGTTCCATAAAATGCTGGGAATTTTTTGAGTGGCTGCACAATTGGCGACTCCGTGAGTGAGTGATATAGTTCTTGCTTATTTTCTGCATATAACCCTCAGAACTAAATGATCCATTTAAATTTGTCAAAAAATATTTCCTGATTTTCTCACAGAACAGATACAGGTCGCCTTGTATTCGGACTTATACGGTGTGTCAAGTTTAGCAGCAGCACTTCAGTTTTATTGAACCGGTTTACAACTACAGAACAAACTGACTACGGGAGAAAGCAACTGATTGCTGAGGTCCTAACAAGAGATGAGGTTCCGCAAGAGCGAAGAGACAAATGTCATTACTTACCGGTGCATTTCAGTTCCTTTCGTAACTCGTCCGATCCCATGAAGCAGTCCGGCGCTCCATCACATAATTTAGACAGCTCGTACAGTTGTAGGACGTCCGTTGATTCGTTTACTTGACATCCGAAATAACCGTCTTCCAAGTTTAAAAAGAATATTTCGCGTTTAATTCCAAATCCTACCCCACCGCTCGAAAGTACCTGCAAGTAAGAAGAAAAACACAGGTTAGGACCATCAACACTGTATTCACGTGAAACAGACGATAACATTGTATTTGGTAATTATTTGTTTTTAACTTATTTATGACATTGAATTTCGATGTTATACAGAGTATTAAGTTAATACTGTGACGTGTATACCCATTGCTAGGCAACGACTTGGTAAGCACATGTCCGCGGTAAACACGCTTAAAACAGTACGGGACAATAGAAGACTGTGTTTTCCGTGGGGTCCGTGCAAAGCTTTTATAAAAAAGTGTTCGGCAGCATAGAGCTGGCAGCGGTCAAGCATACTACCGTTCAAGTGACTAGACTGCCGTGGTAGCGAATACTGGTAGAAATAGGGCAAAATCTGCTGTACTGGGCCTGGATTGACAGAGGCCTTGTATATATTGTACATGGAGATAGGAATTAAGATTAAATTTGTAAATATATGTAAATACTGACAATGGACTTACTGACACAAACTATGACTGACAAATGATAGACCCAACCTCTCGTCAGAGAGGGCGCCAATGAATAGGACAGTAACTTTCATATAAGAAAAAAGAAAAAAAAAACTGGTCATGAGCCCCAGTCGGGGCTCGACACCAAGACAGACAGACTGACGGACCGTCAGTCGCAATGTGACTTGGACTTGGACTTGGACTTGGAGATAGAGCAGTAGAGAACAGTAGTCAAAAAGTGAAGAGTCGAGTTTTGAGACTCCATCCTGCCGGGATATGAGCTTGGAAGGAGAGGAATTGAACTGAATCGAGTCTTTGGAATTTGCACCCGCAGAATAATGGCAAGAAAGGAGTTAGGATGTGAAAAGAAGACTTCATGTGTGATTTGAAGTGAGAGTGAGACTTATAAATCCCGTTGCCAGGATACGACTAGTGAAGAGTGTAAACCCTAGTGCGTGTGTAACTGTGAACTGTAAATTGTGTAGAATAACGATAGCGCTGTGTTACCTGTAGTCTCGAACTGTGTGAATGTATAAGGTGCAATAAATCCAATCCAATCCAAAACCCGTCTTATAATTCATCCGTACATGTTACAATATCAAATACAATTTTTCGTGTTAAAATGTCAGTTCGTTGACGAAATTTTCACTTCCGCTTTTAAAAATGCATTTGCTATATCCAAAATCCTTGCTCAGATACGCCTTTTCTACCTTACGTGCCTGTTTATAACATATGAGATTTATGAATATTTAAATCACTTTTTCTAGTCATATTAGGCGCCTATAACATGCCCTGTCTATTATTATGCTGTACGCTTTATTTATTGCTCATACATTCTTTCGTTTTAATTTGCAAGTCACTTTAACAGAGAAGTTTTAGTACCGTATTCTGTTTGTAAAGTCTAAATTCTGCGGTCCTCGGACGGAGGACAGTTTCCAATATTAACTTTTGAAAGGCAAACGTTATGCATTGCGATCTGCGTTGTTCTCTAAGAAGATGACCTTCAATGGTCGAAATACTTTCTGAATGACCTACGTATGCAGGATAAGGCAGAATACTGTACAAAGAAGTTTTGCGGAAATTTAACGTTCTACGATTTTCAGCATAGTTTCCTATTTTCTAAAGACTGGCTGTGGAAATTCTCAGTTCGAAAAGGTTGCAAATGAAACATGATTAAATGGAATTCAGTGTGTTAAGGAAGTCATCCATGCGGCGCAATGTTTCCTTCTATTGTACAGAGTTTAATTCTGCGGGCGTGTTACAGTTCTCGTAATTAAGTGCATTCGCCTCGTTACACGCCGAAATACTCCAGGAATTAGTTTAATACTTCTTATAAGACAAGCTCAGTAAAAAGCGCAATCTGTCCTTTCCACAGGAAAGCCCGGATGTTTGAAACGAAAGTGTCATGGTTCAGCTAGCTTTCTGCATCGCTCTGATGTGTCTTTCGCACTAACCACTGCAAGGAATGTCTTTCTCTTCACTCACACTATACGGCCAATTTGAGCATAAATAATGCTTAATTTGTTCGGCTGTTGTGTCTGTGGATGAGCCGGGATAGAGTAGTCTGTATAGCGACTGGCTACGGGCTGGGCTACAGAGCGGTCGGAGTTTGAGTCCCGGTGAATTTGTTCTTCTCCACTTCGTCTGTACTGGCTCTGGGCCCACCCAGCCTCCTATCCACTGGGTAACGGGGGTAAAGCGGCAGGGCAGTAAAGGTGACCACTCACCTACCACTAGTACCGAGGTCAAAAATGTGGGTCTATACATCCACTCCCCCATACGCCTTTATGGCGTAGTGCTTAATTAGTTAAGCACAGGGACAACTTTACCTTTTATTGTCTGTGTGGTGTTAACCCCTTGTGGTGCCATTTGGAATCCCTGTATCGTAATGATAAAATAATTTAACCTTTATTTCTTTCTCTCTTTCTTTCATCATTCTTCTTTCTCTGTTTCTTTCCATTCTGTCTGTCTTTCCTTCTTTATTTTTATTTTTTTTTTCTTTCTTTTACATGAATGGTCCTTATGCCCCACATTTCCCTGAGTTTAGAGAGTCAGAATTCGCTCAGCTGTCATTGAGAACAAGGAGCAGATGTCCGAACACAAGAAGGTGAAGTAAAATCGTGTTTGTGATTAAATAAGCATCGCGGCATTAAGATATTTCAATGTATGGCACACTACCTCCATGCAGTTTTAAGCATAGGCATTAAATGGAGGTCAGTGACCATATTCAAGATTCTGCCTCTTTACTTCCGGGGAAGGAAAACCTAGTGCAAACTCAATATGAGACTGGATTTCCCTTAGAGTCAATCGAACAGAGAAATCACTGTCCCTACTGGGAATGGAACCCCGTAGTCCAGCCAGACAGTGCACTCATTTTGCTATCTCGAGTCATCAGGCAAGTAACATCTGCGATATTATGGAAGGTCTAAGGAGTCTTTTATATAGGGAACATCAGTTAGTCTAAAATAGACGAAAGGAGTAATTATGAAGAAAGCGATAAAAATACAGCTCCATAATTATATATTATATGCATATTTGCCTAAAATTAACGCATATTTCCAGCTCATATCCTTCCTGCCGGCCTATATACACCTGTTCTAGAAGGATTTAATTGCAGTTTTGGACTGAAAGTCTACTTCAAAATGTGTCGATCAAAATTAACTTTGGTTCATACCCGTAAAATGTAGTTCCTACTTTAGACCCTAATGCACAATCCTACTAAGGTCTGTGGCATTTCGGCAGACATTCTTCAGCAAAGTACAACATATTCACATATTCAGACTCTTGGTTATTCTGTCAATGGCAGATTTACATCTGAAATAAATAAACGGTATTAACGATGACGAATAAAAATATGAAGTTTTCCCTGTGCATAATTGATCATCGCGCCATGAAATCTCAGGGAAAGTGGAAAGTACAGTTCACTGCATGTCTAGCCTCGGCTTTAGATGGAGGTGAGTGGTCAGCTTCATGCACCGACAACTTTATCCCCGGGGAAGGAACTCAACCAGTGTATAGAAGGCAAGATGTTCCCCAGAGCTGCTGTGGAGAAGAGGAAATATCTTTGCCCCTGGAATCGAACTCAGATTCTTCAGTCATCTAGCCCGCAACTTAGCCTCTATACCGACTGAGCTATTGCAGCTCCGCTGATGAGAGATGGATAATAGAAAAAAATAGCCATATTGTTTGCTCAATGCACACAAAAGGAAGGGAGGCCTACGCCTTGCACTCTTCTTCATAAAAAAAGAAGATGTTTTCTCAAAATAATAATTATATTTCTCTGAGCTAAATTTCTAGAATGGCCCTAAGGTTGTAATATTTTGATTAACCAATCTCATATTACGTCCTACACTATTTTCTCCTCAGTCACACACTTTTGTAACAAAGCCGTTTAGGGAAGGACTTGTGGGGTTTAAATGTCAGGGATTACATTCGTGGATCTGTGAAGGGAATTATTTTCTCTATTCAATTATTTAAACTCAAATTCTTCAATTAACGAGGACCTGGGATTTTAACCAAATAAGCGTTAAATGTGCCTCTAGTACTACACTTCGGCTATAGCTTTTTGCTCGTATTCTAGAGAAGACCGGTTTGAATCCCTGCCAGAACACGGACTATTTCGACTGAAATTTGCCCTTGTTTTCCTCCGTCCCTCCAAGCAAAATTCCAGTTACTACCTCAAGTTAGACCATGGCAGCTGCATTAAAATGTATCACTCACTATCATCCACTCATTCGACGCTGTGTAGTCTAAGTTATTGTAGTGTCGTTAAGTAAACAACACGCATGTCAGGTATTATAAATATTAGGTTTCTGGACATTATCCATCGTCCTGTTTTTATCTAAAGCTAAAGTCCTGTTCATATTCCAAAACACAACGTTTTGGATACTGGATTCTGTCTCCATCTCCAGGTAAAACCTAAATCCAGTTCCCGAAACTTTGTGTTTTGGAATATGAACAGGCCGGTGTTTTAGACAAAAACAGGAAACGTCCAGAAACACAATACTTGTAAAAATGTACCATTCTTACAAACTTTTAGATTTTATGTAAGTTATTTGTTGTTCATTTATGTGAGCCGGGATATCGCAGTCGGTATAGCAACTAGCTACTAGCTACAAGACCGGGGT